GGAAGACATTAAACTGAAGTATTGACTAACTATGCTTAAATGCCTGATTCTTTTGTTCTGAGCAAATTCTCATTTGTGTGTTTTCTCTTTCAGCTCCTCTCCACCCAAGTTCACTTTATATATACCTTTCTTTCTACCCAAAATGCTTGTTTCATAGCAGACTGCTGTCATATTCTATGCTATATATATTTGAATTATACTTGTGGAATAAATACATGTAAAAGTGGTTGGAACAATCCTTGGTTGTGATTTCTAAGAGATCACTCTTAGCTTTATCTGGTTGATGTTAATGAGGGCTTTCTTCTGAAAAACCTGGAGTGTCAAAATGAAAAATCACCATCATAATTTACTAATTTTAACGGAATTTTTCTTGGAATAGAACAAATTTGGAAAGAGCAGTATTTCCTGTGATGTTATTAATTGTATATAGGCTTGTATATTCTGTAAACCTTTGGGTTTTCAAATGAGATATTTAAGTCATCTTCAGGACATGCTGTCTGCACACAGGCTGTTGGCTGCCCTCTGTAATAGAAACACTCTGTAAGTAAACAGCCAGAAAATCAGACTGGAATGCATAGCTGAGCATATATTTTTATATATATATATATTTTTATATATATATATATATGTATACACACACACACCCCCCTTGTACATTTTTGTGTTTCTTTTTGATCATTCAGGATACATTGGTAGAGGTTTTTAGGAAGACTTCAGACGGATGCTGTTCAGAAACAATGCAGTGAATTATTAAAGCCCCATTAGGGCCTATTTTATGTTATTTTTATAGCATAGTAGCAATAAGCATAATTTCTTGTGGTAGTTCTTTACAGTGACCTTTTTGGGTACACAAATTCTTTATTATTATAAAGTTGGGGAAATTAAGGCTGCTTCCTAATAATGGGAATCTTTATCTGTTCTTAATTCCAGTTTCTGGGTTTCAGATGGGCCAAGCAGCTGCTAGATGTTTGGCAAAATGATAACATGCTCCCAGGTTGTAAGCTAAATACCTGAGGCAGAAAAAATATGAGAAACAAATAAAAGATTGCAATAAGCAGGAAGAGATACATGTAAGTTTAAGTTTAAGAAATCAGAACAATTATTTTAATGAACTGCTATATCTAATATTTCCAGTACAGCAGCACCCATAAACTCCAGTTTCATTTTGGGGGAATATCTGTCATAAACTGAAAGGGTAAAAATAGCTATGGTGTTTAGGCTTCTGTCACTTTTATGTAGTAAACTTACAGTAATATGTGTGGAGAAAAGGATATAATGCAATTTGCAATTGTAGCGATTAAACAGAAGAAAAGTTTATATGAGAAAAATGCGGAATTTCAAGGCCAGCATGAGTTACTTGTTCTTATAGTTATTTTTAAAGAATATCTTAACAAAATATGTCTGTTGTCACTGTAAGAAAGTTTTATTGCCTGAAGGTTATCAATAAGTTAACTTGCAGATACCATTTTAAGTTACTAGAAGCAAAACTGAGGGTTTTTTAAGTAAAGTTTTGATGATTTATTGCATACATTATTAAGAGCTGAAAAAACTATTCTGTTTCCTTTTATTTTCCAAATATGGACTTGGTTGTAAAACTACAAGGATGGAATTCTGCCTTAATCTTTATTGTAATGCTAATAATTTTGATTTTTGAGTTGGAGGACACATTTTTCTTCTGTAGTATTCTGTAAATTTTATATTGTAAATAATTTTTATTTTCGTTTTACTTATCATTAAAATATCTTCAAAAACTAGAAGAAAGTAAAAATCTATCAAAGCCATAGTATACTTTCATTGGAATACTAGTATATTAGTATACAGTTACCTTTTTGTCCTCTTTCTTACCTTTAAAGTATCATATTAAAAAAAAAAGCAATCAAGAAAAAGTATTAGAATATATGCTTTTATTTTCTGAAGTAGATCTTGAGTTAGTATAATTTAATATAAATTTTACCATTTACATGTGTGCTCCTTACAGTAGTGTAGATATAGCAAATTCACCCCGAACTCCTTGTGTTAGTACTTTGCACTAGTTCAAAAGAAATTTGAAGTACATTTAATATTGCAATGCCTTTAGATCCAGATACTGTCCTCAGCTTCTTGTGAATTACTACTTGATCTGTACTATGTGAGATACCGCAGCATCAGACTGCATGTGGCTTTGAAATCTTTAATTTGATATGGAAGGTAAAAGTCAATCAGAAACAATACACCCTTGTGAATCAGTAGTTTTTGACGGGTAGCTGTCAGTTTAGTGTTGCGTTTTACTCTTTCTGTTTCAAATTCATTTTTAATTACAGTAATCATTCTTTGGTAGTGATATATATAAAAATAACTACATCTGCCAGGATGAACTGTAAACCCTGGCTTGGAATCAACTTTTTGTCTCCCAGGCAAGATTAAGTTTCCCCAATTGTCTGGTGCAATCTCACTGAAAGGTGATTTTCCCTATCAGTTACCTAAGGTATGTGTTCCTGTTCTGATTGTTTCAGTTCTTTTCAGCGGCTGGTAAGTATACGCATTGTAAGACTGTATTTTTTGGTAACCTCATTTGTGGGCAGCAGAAGTAACACCTTCAAAGTTTAACACATCAAAATAAACAGTATTTGGAAATGTTACATGAAGCGGAGTCTTTGGAGACAGCTAGTGCCCTGAAGTCTACTTTATACAAAAGAGATTAACACCATTATTCTATGTATAATCTCTCCAGCAAAACACTGTCGCCTATTTCTGTCAACAAATGGTTTCTTTGCTTTGGCAGCTGAAAGAAATTTTAGTTGTGTAGGCAGCAGAACATGCCTTTATAAGTTGCAGAACCCAATTTAAAAAATATTTTGGAAGGTAACTGCAGTTTTGAGAAGTTAAATGATTTTCATTAAATAAATATTTTTTTAAACAAGCTAAAAAGACTAATTATGTCTGCTACATGTGATGCTCATAATCCATGCATAAGGCAGGTCCACCATTTTACAGTACACCTTTTGGAAAGGTATGTCGCATGTACATCCCACTGTTCCTTGTAGACACTTGCCTAATTAAAAGGTCTGCACATATTCAATCCAGGTAATGCACATTCTGAGTCCATTTTCTTTCTGAATATGAAAATGCAGATATTTCTGAATATGAAAATTTTCTTTCTGAATATGAAAATGCAGATAAAATGGAGATATCTGAGCAGTGTTCTTACCGAGAGCGTAAGAGTCCATAAAACTGTTGTATATCAAAGAAAAGAAGATGAAGAGGCTCAAGTAAAGGGTTAATATTTCTAGAAGACTAACACCAAATAAATTTTGGAAAATTTGCAGGGAGGGGAAAAAAAAAAAATGATACCACAGCATTTTACTGTGTAATGAATCACAGAAGCTGCATCTCTAATGGAATTGAGTTATAAAAGTCACAGTCAACATGTGAAAGTTGTCTTTTAAATTTTATTTTATCTTAATAAATACATCAGTGCTCTTTTTCAAACCAATGAATTACTAGTTGATAAATTAGATTTTGAATAAAATTTTGAATAAAATACAAAAATTAAAGCTAAAAATGTACTTTAATAAATATCGCCTTGTATTTTATTTTCTGGTTTATGGCAAAAAATAAATAAGAAGTAAAAGATTTGCCAAATTTTTAATTTAGTAGCTGAATCAAAGCTTCTGTTATTCTCAGTTTCTTTGCCTGGAGGCAAGAATTACATCGTCATTCACAGCTTCTGTTTGTAGAGGGTCAGATGCCTAATGGGAATAGGGCATTTGAACCCTCCTCACTTACATGGAAGGGTAAATGTAGGTCTTAAGGGCAGAAGTGGACGTGTGTGTGGATCCCTGTGCTGGGAGCTACTTCCCTCCTTGGTTACATGGCTGGGTATGTGTGTGTCCTGAGGTGAGGGTGCTGATGTCTCTGACATGTGGTGTGCACAGACTGTGCAGACAGTTTCTTATCATTTGACTGAGTACATGGGTGCTTGCATTGCAGGACTGGATGTGATTTCTGTTATGTTGATGGATAGCTGTATTTTGTTTATTTGTGGGGAAGGATGGCAACAAGAAACAAACCATTAATCACAAAAAAGGCATTAAGACATCAGTTTGTTTCTTGTGCACATCTAAGGGCCGATGGGGAGCAACCCCATGAAAATTGTCTCAGCACCTGTCCTAGTAACAGTTATAATGACCTTTCCCTATATTAATTTTTAGTTTGTTAGTTCACACTTCGTAATTACAAAGCACAGATCATTGAAACACAAATTATTAATGTTAATCAGTAAGTCAGCATACAAGAATGCAAAGAATCATGTCTCTCCTTGTGTACTAAATGAAAAGATTTCATCCAGATTCTTGCTTTGATCATTAGACTCTATTAAATAAGCAAACATTACTTAGTTGCTAAGCCACAGACTGAAGTTCATTAGTGTGTTAGCACAAATATTGGAAAAAGAGTACTAAACCAATATTAGATAGAGGACCTGTGCGTAGGCTGGAAGTAATGCAATGAACGTAACACCAGAACATTTTGAAAGATTGTGCGCAGTGATTAAAACCATTTCTGTTTGCAAAAACCCACCCTGCTCAGCGAGAAAAAGTGCAAACCGTGAGTAGATCTGTTTTTCTGCTATCTGTAAGACTTTCTGAAAGTACAATAGATTTTATAGTCTTATAATTACGTATATACTTTACTTTAAATGTTGATCAGATGTATAGATGCGACTTTTTTTTTTTTTTTTGGTAATGGTTATCCTTAAAACTGTTTTTTGTTAGAATGCTTTTAACCATAGATTGAAAGCTAGAATGCTGTTTTATTTAGCCTGTTTGGGAACCCAACTCAAAATCTTTACATGGATTCATGGATATTTCAGGTTTAATGCATAAATGCAGTGTTTTAACACAGTGCCTTTTTACAGAGGCTGTTGAACTTTACAAGGTGTCATGCTGGTTTGAATTTTTTGATGTTCAGTTTATTATCTTAAGCAAATGAACTAACAGTTCATGCTTTTGCATTCTTCACAGATCTTCAATACAGTGAGAGACGAAGAAGGAGCAGAAGATATTTTTGAATATTTTCCTCGTCTTCTGAGAAGGCACCCAACACTTGATACAGACTGTATATGCAGAGGTGATGGTTTTTATATAAAACCATGTGTATCAGGTGCCTACTGTCAATATCGGGCCACTTTACAGAGGACTGCACTCTCTAACTATATAACTGGTGCTTTACTAGAAGCAACTACATCATTAGGAGCAAGAAACGGCCTTTTAAGTATCTTCGGAGGGTCAACTGGAAGAATAATGCTTAAAGGTAATGAAGATTTAATTTTTTGAACTCTATCCACTTTAAGTATAGGGTGTATTACAAAAAATAGATAATACTATATAATATTCTGCAGGTTATATACTCATATATGAAGTTAGATAAAAAAGGTTGAACAATTTTCATGTTTTTGAAGATTTTTCTTTGCAATCTTTATGTGTCATAATGACTAGCTATGTTAGCTTAACAAACTAAAAGTGCATGCAAAACTGAAAAGATTGTTATTACAAACCAGGCACCTTTTCAGTTTTCTTTTCTTTTTAGAATTGTTCCTCTCTACATCCAAAGTTAATGCCTAAGCCATTGTTGTTAGGGTGTTCCTTTGTATAGTATTTCTCATTTACCAAGTGCTCCTTCTGCTCATGGGCTGACTTGGTTCAGGACTTGAGAAAGAAGTACGTATTCTACTTGGTTATTATTGTTGTTGTTATACAACTGGCTGTCAACATGGCACTGTGTGGTAAGTATGTACAATTCATTACTGACTTATTTTTGGTCTTCTCATGGGTCCATCGTCTTTCTAGTATCATCTGGGTATTGTCTATGTGGAAAAAAGCCCTATTGGAGAGGGGATGATACATACTAATGTTCATAGTGATCATCTTTGTATGCAGTAAGAATGTGACTTAGTTTGGTCAGTTTTGGAAGTTAAACAGGGCAAAGACATTCTTGGTACAAATTCATTGCATTAAAATGGGTTTGTACAGTATAGTAACTGAATTTTAAATTTATTTTTAATTAATGCCTGGAATATTTACCAAGGTACTCAAGCATTTGGGCATTTATCATTATCTGATATACTGTAACAAAAGGACGTAGTATCTCAGTTGTACAATTGTAGAATTGAAGTATGTGGGTATTATAGTATGCCCAAAATCTTGCAGGGATATGACAAGATCAGTAGAGAATTCTCAGTGCAGTTTCTTAACTAGTGCAGATACTGACCTCATTTTTACAGACAAATGATATTTTGTGCTCAGATCAGATTGCCTTACTTTTATTCCAAAGAGTGTCTCCTTCTAGTTTTAATTTGTCTCTATTTAGGTGAATCAAATGTCAGAGAGAGGCACTAAAATGGTGTAAGAATAAGATACAGATGGCAAAGTGAATTCTGAGTGAATTTCAGTAGTACATTGAGCAACATTACTAAACTTCACATACCCTCGTGATCTCTGAGGGACAGAGATATGTACAGTACATTATCCTATTTTGGTAGGGTTTTTCTTTTTATTTTGTTTGGTCTTACAATTATATGGGGAGATGAGTGCTTCAGAAAAATAAGCATGTACATTCGTGCAACAGCACTGGAAAGCAAGGTTAAAAGAACTGAGTCATGTACTTGGTAGTGCAGTGTGGTAGACTTTCTTCCTGCACAGTGGGAGAAAAGATGCCCCAGACTTGAACGAGACTCTAAGGATGTTCTGTCTCCCGAGTACAACTCTCAGCCTTCCATGGGGCATGTTGTGGCATTGTCCAAAAAGCCCAGCTGGTCACTGTCGCCATAGAGTTGCAGGCTCTGACTGAGTTCTACAACTGGAAGCAGCAGCAGTAATTAGCTCAGGCTCACTGATATGCTAATATGGCTCAGTCTTTTTATAGAGCCTGAGCTAGTGACTGCACGTGTGCTCTGTGTACCATCACACTTTGCACTAGTCTGGGGATCTCTGTGGTGCCTGTATTACATGCTGTACAATTCTGTTGTATTCTGAGCCTGAAGATGTGAGACCTTAAAGAAAAGGCCAAGATCTTGAATTTGATTTGCAATTACACAGACAACTTGTGTAGATGGTAGAGTTACTGCAATGGTGTAGGTATGATTTACTGTAGTGGTCTCTGTTGAGGAATAGATGTGCTGCAGCTTTAGGATATTGAAGTTTTCTGAATGTGGAAGGTTCATGTTCAGGTGTATCATGGTGATTTAATATATCTGAGAAATGACAAAGGTGTCAGTAACAGAGTCCTCCTCTCTAAATCATTTACACAGCGTTACTTGGTGGTGTAATTGAGACATCAGCATTAGCAAGGAACCAAAGAGTATTCTGAATTCAGAGCTGTACTTATCATTCATGGGTGTACACGTTTTAAGAAAGAGAATAGTCCTGTCCATGCAGACTGATAAAAAGGTTATTTTCATCTGTCTAACATCCTCTCTTACTGCTGGATTTAACTTCAACCATAAAATAATCTCATCTAAACCTGAGAACTTTTAATTGACATCTATAACAGTTCTATTGTTAAATGCAATGCAAGTTTTATCACAAGACACAGCATGTCATTGGAATGCTTCACTTAGTAGTTGTTTGGAGGTGTTGAAAAGGGAATATATTGATTCTGGTGTGGTTTAATAGTGGTTGTGGTTTAACCCTGGTAGGCAGCTAAGCACCACAGAGATGAAAATAAATATTTGCTTTGACAGTCAGAAGTTTTGAGTTTCCATGTAGTAAATTCAATGCTGTGCACTTCCCTGAATTAGTATCATCAGCAGCAGGAAATTAGCAATAGGTCTTTTTAGGTTGGGTTTCTTCATATTGCTCAGCCTGTTGAAAAATGGAGGGAAGACCCCTTCTCTGACTTTGATCAAGAATAACAAATGTTTCTTGTTACTGCATTTCAGAAGCTGTGACAGAACAGGTTTTCAAGTGTTGGCTTGCTTCCATAAAAACTTCAAGTATAGGTTCTCAGGTCTTTGTATTTATTTTTAATTTTTTGTATTAGAACATGTCTTGCAGTTCTTCCTTTAAGATTGTACTTGAAAAAGGGTTTGCAGGAAGACGTCATAGGACAATCGAATGTACAAGCATCAGGATCCTAATGAAAGTGCAGAAGAGCACTGATATGATGTTAGCTTCTTTCAGAAAGAAGGAAATTATAGATGTCTGGTTTGTATAGGATAGTGCAGTGTAGAGACACTTGACTTGTTGCTGACTCATTCAGACCTGAACTAGAGTATTCTCATAATGCAGCAAAATCCCCTATAGTGGTTGGACTGAAAACAATATAGGCAGCCCTAGTTAATAATGCTTCAAAATATGACCCTTTCTGGTGATGGCAGTAGCTGAGATGGTGGTAGTGTGAGTATCAATGCACTATGCTTCACTATACAGTGGTAGGCATGCCCAAAGGCACCAGTTATATTGATTATTGAAATAAATAGAAGGAACCACTAGCAAATGAAAATGTGAACAGAAATAGCACTGACATAGGTGGATCTGGAATGCATTATGAAAACAAAGAATGATATATATTTCTTTTAAAATATCTTCAGAAATAATTTGAAATGTTATATAATTAAAAGAATCATTGAACTATCCAGTTACTGTTCTACAACTCAGAAATCTGAACTCAAACTTACTTGGTGTCCTATAAATATTGTAGTACCTAAAACCATTGTAAATAAAAGCTGAAAGAAGTGGTGAATTATTATCAAGTAATTATAGTAAAACTTCTTTGTGGTGGATCCAGGTCAACAGATCTTTACCTTGCAAAGATGCACTACATAAATGTGCTATTGAAGACCTGCTGGTATTACATGTTACTACTTACAGTTTTAGACAATGACAAATACTCTTGCATATTAGAGTCTTACACATCTGAAGCTCTGAACTGATGGCAAGTGGTAATGCCAGCATTAACTTTAATCACTCTTCTTCCTGGGTTCTTGTTCCTAGAAACTGATTTCACTTCAAAAAAATCCTGTAAAAGAGAACAATAAAAGGCAGTCACTTTGGCCTAGTATTGCCACTGCATGCTTCATTTTGTCATATCATGTCCTGAGTTAGAGATCTCTAAATTGCCTTAGTTATTTGTATATGTATTATGGATTTCAGTTCAATGAGTTAATAACTTCATCAAAATGTTTACTATAACACAGGCAAAACACAATTGTGTTTGAAACATGTTATGATTAATACTTTAGTTTTTAATGCCTGTATACATTGTCATGTATTTTATTTAAATATATCATTACCTCTGTGTAGGCATTAGGCAAATATATTCTTAAGTGTAAGAGGAACTCTACTTTTTTTGATTGAAATATATGGATTATCTGGGTAATTCTAGTTTTGTTTTGTAAAATGTGTGGAAGTAGGAGGGTTTTATATGTGTCTTACTCTAAAATTGCCAGTGACAAATGAATTGATCGAAAGGTCTTTTAATTATACGACACAAGTTTTTTAGTTTAAATGAGTTTTGCAAGTAAGCATAAAATTGTAGGCTTCAGTTTACTGGCTTTTAAAACTTTTTTTTTTTTTTTTTTTTAAGTATAGCTCTTTCTGTTCCAAATTAGGAAACATTGGTCAAACCTTTTTTTCAGGGTTGGGGAATATTGTCTGCTGACCACGTTCTTTTTGGAAGTTCTTGTACTGTCACAGAAACGTGACATGCTGGAGGAAGTAGAAACTAACAAATGTGTGAACTGTACTGAAAGGAAAAGTTGAGTAATCCACCCATGAAATTTTTTCGGTGAGGGTGATGGCTCTCTTGAGAAAAAGTATCTGTCTGAGCATGAAAGGTAGGGGTTTTATTCTACTTGTAAAAATAATTATCATAAACAAGTTAGCTAATCTTTAGTGTTTTATGATGGAGCTCATTTATAGGTTCAATGTAGTCATTAAATGTATGACTCTAAACTGTAGAGTATCTCTTAATGGGCATGTGGCTGGGCAGCAGGTATAGAGCCTGACTGCTTCCTCTCTTGCCTTTTGGCTTTGTGGGAACTGCATTTTTAGTGCCTTTTGTTTTGTTTTGTTTTTTAAGGTCAAAGGTACTCAGAATTGCACTGAAGTGCTTCACTCACACAAGCGTTTTACTTTTTTTCTGAAATCGTGAAAATATACAAAAGTGTCTCTATTTTTTGTATAGAGCGTATTAACTTATTGTCATACCTTATGCAAAACACTTAAAACATCCAGCAGAGCACAAAGTTGTTCTGCCCTCTTATCTAGTCACGGAAGCCCTCACAGTAACACATGGAACATGGTGTATGGATC